GAGGTAGAAGCAACCTGAATGTCCATGAGAGATGAAGAGATTGTGAAAATGGTCTATCCACACAGTGGAATATTATTTAGGCTTTAAAAATGAAGAAAATCCTCTCATATTTTACACCATTGATAAACTTTGAGGCTATTGTGCTAAGTGAAATAAGCCAGTCACAAAAAAGACAAATACTGCATGATTCCACTTACCTGAGGTTTCTAAATTACTCAGACTCTTAGAAAGTAGAATGGTGGTTGCAAGGGGCTGGGGGTGGAGCTGGGAGGGGGAATGGGGAGTTGCTGTTCAATGGGTGTCGAGTTTCAGTTTTGCGAGATGAACTGTTTCTGGAGATCTGTTGCACAGCATTGTGCATATAGTTAACAGTACTTTACACTTAAAATGGTTAAGATGGGAAATTTTACATTATATGATTCTGAACATAAAAAAAACAACCTAGTTTCCTGCTGGCTTCTGCTTTCTTAGAGAAGAACTCAGCCAGATCACTAGCAGAGAGTGACGACATGAGGGCAGGTCTAGGAGTGCGGTAGCTTCCCGCGGCCACTGACTGGCTCAGGACAGGCTCTGTGTGGGAACTTCAGGGTCAGGCAGCTGTGGAAGCCTTTTAGATGGATCACCTCACCTGCCTGCCCCCTTAAAAAATCAGAATTCATGGGCATGTAACCCTCCCAGGAGTAAGAATTACCTTCTTGGAGTTGGTGTGTTTAAAATTCTTAGCAGGTCCTGGTGCTCTCCAGTTTCACGATGGATTGGAATAGCTATTTATAGCAGAACTCATTTACTGGCACTGTACATTTTTTTATAAAGATCTGATATTTAACTTGCTGGATTTTCTGGAAGAAAAGCTTCACTGAGTAAAATGAATCTTGGATTTTTTTTAATTTGGGAAATGAGAGAGGAGCGTTTTCAGAAGAGAGAAGAATGTTATCTGATTATGGAGGTCATTTTGGACTGTTACCCAGTTAGCTTGATTTGACCTGGGTTTTAAAAAATGATCAACTTAAATTCATAGAAACAGTGAGGGGATCTCAGGCTCATGGATTGGCGGGTCCTTGTGCCATACATGCCTGTTTTGTCCTCCCCGCCCAGCGACGACTCCGGGCAAAGCTTTGTGCAGGTTTCACCCTGATCTTTCGTTTTCCGACCCTGACATTGAGACACATCCCCTCTTTCTACAGTTACAACGACAGGCCCCTTAGGAACCGCTATCCCGACAGTAGACCCTAACTAAAGCAGTGATATTTTTCCTCCTCTTTTTTCCTTTTGCTCATTGGGACTTTCCACAAGTAAAACCTTATACGTAAGCATCTTTAAAATAAATACAGATGTATGAAAAAAAAATCTGAAGCTGCTCTGATTAAAGTCCAGGCGGGTGGTGGTGTGCCAAGATCTGTGCCTGCTCCCCACTGTGCACCCCAGAGCCCTGATGGCCTCGGAGGCGTTTCTAGAGTATAGTTTGAAACTACAGCTCCATAGCAATATTAGGAATTCACGTTCTTTATCATCTTTTTTTTTCAAGTTGAGGTTAAAATTTATATACAATAAATTTACTTTTTTGGTATCCATTTCTATGAGTTTTGTCAAACTCTCAGTCATGTAACCACTACCATAATCAAGATTTAGAGCAGTTCTGTTCCCCCTCCCCCCATTTTATTATTCCCCATAGTAATCACTTTCTTTCCCACCTGTCCCTATAATTTCTTTATTCCAGAATGTCATATAAATGGAATCGTATAGTACATAGCCTTTTGAGTAGAGCTGCTTTCTCTTAATATAATGCATTTGAACTTTATCCATGTAGTTTGTATCCAAAGTTTGCTCCTTTTAGGAATTGTATCTTTAAGAAGAACACATTTGTATACCTGAGTTTTACTGAGCTTTCAAATGAACACGTTTTAAAACTAGAATGTTCTAGTTTAGCCTTTCTCAAGATCCAGCTGGATTTCTGTGCCTTTTTTTAAAAGTTGAAGTTATCCCCCTGTTTTCTGTTTGGCATCCTGGAAAAATACTAGAAGGACTGCAGTTTGACAGTGATCTGCAGCATAAAGGTGGCCCCTTACTTCTGTTTTCAAGGAAGGTCACCAAGTTCAGTACCTGCCAAACACCATGACTTTTGTGAGTAAATGGATAGTGAATGTTTCTATGGCCTTTGTTTTGTGTTCCTACAGGCTCATCAGATTCAAGAAATGTTTCCCCAGGTTCCATACCACCTAGTGCTGCAGGACCTCCAGTTGACACGCTCAGTTGAAATCACAACAGACAACATTTTAGAAGGACGGATTCAAGTACCATTTCCCACACAGGTAAACTAAGGTTTCAAACGTGACAAATCGATTCTGTCTTCATAAAAATTTAATCTTCTAGATTCACTTTTTAGTTAACAGCTGAGTATCATTTATGATTTGCTGAAGGGTTTCTGTGAATTCCCTAACTTTCCAAATTATGACAGAGAACAGACCTATTCAAGAGGCTTGGTAAGTTAAGGACAAGTGTATTTGGCTAATTTTTTTGTAGCTGTACACCCCTAACCAGCCTGCCCTTACCAGTCCAGGAAGTCATAGCATCATTTACTTTAGGACAAGAATGGGTAGTCTTTTTCTATAAAGAGCAGATTGAAATATTTTAGGCTCTGCGAGCCATGCATTGTCTATTGTAACTTCTCAATTCTGCATTGTAGCAGTAAAGCGGCCATGGACAACATGTAGATGAATGTGCATGACTGTGTTCCAGTAAAACTTTATTGACAAAAACAGTTGGAGAGGTACTTGGTCCACAGGCTGTGGTTTGCCAACCCCAGCCATAGGAGATGTTGCCATCTGTCCCTGGTTGGCTTTGCATATTGGTATGGCTTTCCATTGGGTATAATTCCTGTCTCTGTGAGGCTTTTATTTTTGACCTTTTTTTAAGAAGGTCGTATTTCCTGATCCGTCATATAACCTCTTTGATGGGTACAAGAACTATTAACATTTTAAAAGCAAGCTTTCTGGCAAGACCAAGGAATAAATTTATAATCAGGGAATCATATACCAAGAAATGACTCAACTTTAGTATGCAAAAGCATGGAAATCTGCTAGTAACATTTTAAAACTTGAGAATCTTTAAAGAGGGAATGAGCCTGGACTTAGGAGTCAAGGGGTCTGAGGTATTGGAGGTGGCTCAGCAGTCCTTAGCTGTTTGACCTGGCTGTTGGGTTTGGATTTCCCCAGGAGCAGACCCTGAAATAAGAATTTGAATGCCAGTAGTTAATTTGGGAAGTGTTCCAGGAAACACAGGGAGCAGGTGGGGCTGTGAGACAGACAAAGGGTTTGTTATCCAGCAGACTACCATTGTGGGCAACTGGAGCTTGATCCCATTGGTGGCCCCTGGGTCCCAGCATAGAACACATTGTCCTTCCTGAGGAGAGAGGAACCGGGGTGTTTATACACCAGCTCCCATAAGTGGTTGGTTGAGGGTCGCCTCCAGGTAGGGCAGTTACCTCACGCAGCCAGAGTGAGTCTTTACGCAATGAGATACAGAAACTGGCCAGTTAGCACGCAGGGGCAGACCTGCAGGGATATGGGCCGGGTGCCGAGGTGTCTGTAGTGTGGGCCACGATCTCAGCCCGGCTAAAAGTGAGAAAAACAGCAGTGCCTTTTTCATAGGGTGTTGAGATGAATGAGATGATCGTGTCAAGGTGTTCTGTCGGTGTTATCTGCTGTTGTTTTGCTCTTGTGGCGCAGTTACTATTATTGAAGGGAAAATTAATTGTGGAGCCTGTTGATAACTCTCAAACTAATGCCTCAGGCTCTCTTGTCTTTCATCTGAGTAGCAGTCTCATTTCTTTGTTGCTGTGGGGTTTGTTGAACTCAGACCGTGTTGCGGTCATAGCTCCCCAACCCTCCAGGTTCTCCCTTACCTGTTCTTTGAGTTGGGAGCGGCTCTACTGTCTGTGGTGCTGTTTCTCTTTCAGCGGTCAGATAGCATTAGACCTGCACTGAACAGTCCTGTGGAAAGGCCAAACGGTGACCAGGAGGAGGGAGAAGCTTCTGCTCAGGTAAGGCCTGTACCCCAGAGAGAGAGCGTGTGGGACTGGGGCAGAGTGGGGGACCTGGCGACGGCCTTCAGTCCTGTCTTGAACGTCTGCGCGGCTGAGGGCGAGAGTGGAAAGGAGGCCCGGTGCCACACCTGTCTCAGTGTTTACAAGTCAGCTGTGCCCAGGGCATGGCCTGCACTTCCACTGGGGCCTGCAGTCCACTCCCTGGGGGCTGTCCTCAGGACCTAGAGGCGAAAGGAGTCGTGCTCTCCTGGGCTGGCCCTGCTGCCGTGAACTTGAGTAGTAGCACCAGGAAGGGCAGAGTGAGGCTGGGCCTAGGACTCAGGGTGACTGGACTCATCCAAACCCAGTGGGCACTGCACATGGCTCCCCTCCCCAGAGCCGACGCCATCAAGCTCTTCTCCCTCGGACCTCACTTGGCCAACTCAGCATTTCTAGGTACTTTCATGAATTTCACAAAAAAGAAACCCCCAGGGATAGGGGAAAGTGAGGTTATCTTGGGAACTAGATCTGCCTAGATACCTGCTTTGGGGGACCTGAGATGGCTGTTCGCAACCAAAGCTGCTCCTCTGTCTGGTTTCTAGGGCAGAGGTACCCATTTCCCCCATGCTTTTAGCCCCACACCCTAGGGGTTCCGGTTCACGTCCCTTCTCTGTATTTCCCATTTACTTAATCACCATACTTCCCAAAACTTTCCTAAGAGACTAGGAAGAAAACCCCAAACAACTCTGTCTTTGTGTTTGCTTGTTTGTGGGACATGTGGGGTTTCCCACACACGGGGCTGGGGTCTGAGGCTGGCGCCGCCTTCTCGGCCAGTGTCGGTCAGGGCTTTCTTTGAAGCAGCTGCTTTCTTTGATAAATGACATGGAGGCTGCTTTCACCTTGTGTATCTTTCTCTGTGAATAGGAAACAGTAAAAACTCCAAAGACTTTTTCAAATCTGTTGCTGAGTTAAAATATTCATACCCAAATCCATAATCGGATTGCACAGCATTTCTGAAGAAGGGGCTCATGTTTGCACTTCTTGGCTTAGCTCAGATTTGGGTGCTGGACTGCCTTGGGGGCATTGTGGGTACAGCATGTTCGATCTGTCTTGATTCCCCAACTCTATTTTTAGAGTCAGCATGAAGGTTTCTGAATTTTTTAACATAGTGGAAGGAAAGTACTTGTTTCACAAGGAAGCTTGCTATATAACATTTTCGGTCATTCTCAGGAAATAAAAAGTTCTTGGATATCAATCTGCTAATAAACACCTCAGTTTAGTCCAATCATCAGATCAGTTCTGTTTGTCACTTAAGTCAGAGTTCCCCCGCCCCTGCCCGAGCTCAGGCCTGCATCGATCAGGCTTGGAGACTGGCAGGGGCCCCAGGGTGGGCTTCCATTCCCTTCCTCTGTCTCCTCCTTCACTCACTAGCTCTTCTTTCTAACCTTCTCTAGGGTCTGGCTAAGGGGAGAGGGTTAGGATGGACCATGTGACCCCAGCGTGTGTGTGTGTACATGTGTGTGCCCATCTGTGTATTACAATTGTTACCATAGAGATCTGCCTGCCCTGTCTAGTGCCAGAAACCTTGACCTATACTTCCTCTGAACTTGGACTGGTTGTTTATGACCACCCCTACCTTCCTGGGGGTCCCATCACCCACCAAGTGATCTTCTTGGGCAATGTCTGTTTCAGCAACCTCAGGCTGGTCCCTCCTGCAGGACCCACATCTCCTTCCCAGCACACATGCAGCAGCGCCCTATAGACAGTGGAAGTTGAACTTGCTCCCCACCAAAGTCTTTTTTCAATCTGTTACAAGCCAGTGTCTCTTAGATTTCTCAAGTGTGTATTAGTCCTCATGTCCCCCAAACTCTAGGTAATATGATTCAGGCCACATGGTTCTCTTGAGGTCTTATCACTCGCTTGGCTGAGAACAAGGAGATGTAGTGAGGGTGTGTGAGGGAAAAGCGTGCACTCCAGGAACTCTTAAAGATAGGCCTCTCAGCCTCTTCCTCCTCAACTCTGCGTCACTTAGAGGTGCGCTGGGCTGACCCCGGCCAGCCTGGGTCTGGGTCTGGTAGCACGAGCAGCACAGACGGCCGGGCACCTGCCTAAGCCTTGGGGTCCCCGGGTGTTGCCTTGGCCTTCCTGGCTGCAGCCAAAACAGAGAGTCCCGTTACAATACCCTGTTACATGAGGAGCCACGTGATCTTTTATCGGTCTTAAAAAAAATAATTAGAATTTACCCTTTGTGTCTGGTTGACTGTTTTCAGAGTCAAGTGAAGGTATAAAATTTGTACCATAAATGCGATGACTTGTTTGAATTTGAAAGCAATTAGAATTGAACAGACAATTCCCAGAATGCAAATTAGCAGTTAACTTTATTATTTTCCGAGAGTACAGTTTTAAGGTGCTGATGTTTTTCATTAACGTTGACCATGCAGTGTTGTCAGGTCCTGTCCTTAGTGGTACACATGCAGCAGCCTGCCCTCCAGGAGCCCACATCGGCCCCTGCACATGTGCTCGCGGTTCCCCGCCTGCAGTCTGCCTCCGTTTGGGTGCAGAAGAGCGTTATTTGGGGCTCTCTGGTCAGGTGGGGACTCTGCTTGGGAGGGCAGCCTGTACTCACGGCGGCCCCTTGCTTTCTCCATGTCCAGACTGAGCGCGTTCCACTGGACCTCAGTCCTCGGCTGGAGGAGGCGTTGGACTTCAGCGAGCTGGAAGCTGAGCCCAGTGAAGGGGAGGACTTTGAGGCCCGGGGGAGCCGCTTCTCCAAGTCTGCTGACGAGAGACAGCGCATGCTAGTGCAGCGGAAGGACGACCTCCTGCAGCAAGCTCGGAGGTGAGCTGATTCTCCAGCCCTCACTGGTGTGAATCTCGGGTCAGATTCCAGGCGCCTGGAGGCCTTTGTCATAGACGCCAGCATTGGAAAACCTATCACGTCACCTAAAAATTCACATTTTAAACCTCTGTTGAAAAACCAGAGGGTCTGGTAACATTGGGCCCAACTGGTAACCTCCTCGGCCATGCTTACGTGGACAGCACTTAACGTGCCGGCGTCTTCTAGGCCCATTATATTAGTTACTCTCATTCTCTTGACAGCTCTGGGACAGACTTGAAGCTGAAGAAACTGAGGCCTAGAGAGGTTAACTCTGGCCCAGTGTCCAGCTCCCAAGTCCTCCGTCTTGGCACCTCTGTGCGCAGCCGGCCCGGAGTGCAGACCGTCTGTGTGCGCCCCCAAGCCCGGGCGGTGCAGCCGGGGCGGGGAGCGCTCTGTGGCTACACAGGAAGGGGCTTGTTAAACTCTTGGGGACAGGGCTAGTGTTCTGTTCCTGTGGGTGGGTTTGGTGCCCAGCGCAGACCTTGTGAGTGTGGGGAGGGGGCAGCCGGAGGACAGGGTGGAGCTGAGCAGCTGCTTGCCAGGCCCTCCCTGGTGCAGGGAACTTGTGCTCCTTTCTTCAGAGAGAGGTGTCTTGTTCTCCGGGTGGTGCAGAGTGACAGCTTCCTGACAGTCAGGGAAATGGGAAAATTACAGAAACATATTGAATGTTTCTGAATGTACGTGTTCCAGAGCTTCCCTCATCCCTCACGCAAATCCTGTTTTTTGTAGGCGTTTCTTGAACAGAAGTTCTGAAGATGACTCAGCCTCAGAGAGCGGTCTCCCCTCTGAAGGCACGACCTCTGACCCCGTGACCCTGCGTCGAAGGATGCTGGCTGCTGCCGCGGAAAGGAGACTTCAGAAGCAGCAGACCTCCTAGCGCTTCCTCGCCTCCCCGCTGCCTCGTCTGGAGCCACGCTCCCACCGGGAGGCTTGTCCTCAGTTTGCCTGCTGTTTGAAGAAGTGGGCTTGACTGCATTGCCGCTGTATAAAGCATGTGGTCTTAATAGTGTTTGGACAGCTGACAAATTTAATCCTTTTTTGTAATACTTTCTATGTGACATTTCTCTTCCCTTTAGAAACCTTGCACTTGTTAACTCTAGGCATGATCTCTTCTGCATTGACCGGACTTTGAGGGGGCGGGGGAAGATCAAGAGGAAGTGGAGACCCTGAAGCAGGCAGCTTCAGTGACTGCCTTATGCAGAAGTCACAGCAAACGCTGGTGTCTTTAGCTCCAGATTTGGCAAGAAGTGTGTGTGTGATGGAGGGTGGGAGTGGGGGTGGCAGGAGGAGCAGGGGGCAGGATCCGTAAAGAGCAGTGTGAGCCTGACTCCACTCCGCTGGATGATCTTGCTGTCTGACTACTGTTCTTAGTGAGGAGGCATTCAAAGTGTCACAGAGGCCAAACCTATGGGCCCCTGGGCCCCTGGGTCAGCAGGACATCTTGGAAAAACAATGCTTGGTTTGATACATGGAGCAGAGGAGGGGAAAGCCCAGGGACGTAGTGGGAGGGGATCACCCGTCATGTCTCAGTACATTCGGGACTGACTTTCTGAGCCCCCGATCCAAAGCTGGCTTTATTTCCGTTAACGCTGGTGCTCCCGCATCTCACGAGTACACCCTGTGTGTCTGTCCTCTCCTTGCACCCCCCACCCCCAACCCCCGACGTGGGGAAGGTCAGTACTGAAAGGGTTAAGCAGCAAGCTTTGATTCATGGTTTTAATTCCTTGGTCAAGTAAATTAGGCAATGCCAAAGGCTGTGGGTTTGGTCCTTGGAGAAAATGCGAGCCTTACAAGATAGGAGAGTAAATTTTGGGGGGCTTTACTGAAGAAATAAAAGATATCTTTTGTATCTTTCTTCCCCGGAGCCCTTCATTTTCATGACTTTGTTCCTGTTGGTTTAATTAAACATAGAAAGGTAAGATGTTGAGTCCGCCTGCTTTGGAGCAGACCCAGGTCTGAACTTTTTCAAATCCTCAACACATTTAACTTGAAGGATTTGAAACATGCAATCATAATAGGTTACACAGTTCAGTTTTATGTCCTTTCGGATTAAGTTTTTTTTAATGTTTGAAGCATAGTTTTATGGTAGACCTTTTGGGAAGAATCCAGTGTTATCTAAAATTATTGTCAAAGTTAAATGTATTTTACATAACTGAAAGTTTTTAGAATGTTGAGAAGTAATTGCAAATAGAGTGATGAGTAAATGTTTAGGCTGAGATAATTTATTTCAAATAAATGTTTCAAAAGCCTTATCTTGAAATGCTGTTAGTAAATTTCTGTGATTTTTTTTCCTTTTAAAATTTGTTTTGTTTTGCTGAAAGCGTAGCTATTTGTTTTTATTGTAAAACAATAATAATAAAAGGCAAACTAGCCTAGTGTGTTGTGTGTGGCTGTGAGCAAAGGCAGTTTCTTTCAGAGGTGTGGAAGTTAGATACTGTTTTAACTCTGTGTGTCCTATTTTGGTTGGAGGGTTTCTATCCTTATACTTTGCATGTTGTACACATTTAAAGATGATGCCAATACCATGTGCTCTTATGTTTCAGATGTGTGAAAAGAGAAAATGTTTTGGAGTCAATTTTAGAGGGTCCTGAGACATTGGAATATAGCAATATGACAGTGATCAAAGTGGATGCCTTTAAATGACCCAAGAAGAGAAGTCCTAAATTCACCCTTAGATTTTACACTTAGATAGTAAAGGATTCTGTCACTAACTATACTGTCTCTTGGCTTTTGTCACTTCGTGGGGGCCAGTCTAGACCAGTGTCCCGTTGCACTGGGTGGTCCCTATCCCGTGGTCTCTCAGCACAGCCAGCCACTGTGTTGGCTGTCTCTAGGAGGGGAGCCCAGAGTGGAGGCCAGGCTGCTGGTTCGGGTCTGTAAACTGAGGAGGCATGTTTGGGTGCTCTGTGAACAGTGATGGAGGCGCCCTTGCCCTCTCCAAGCTCCTTTGGAAGTAGTCTCTGTTACTCCCTCCATTTTCTTTTGGCTCTGTTGACATCTTGGGTTCTCAGTTTGGTTTTTTACACCCTAATTTTGAGGCTCTTACATACCGTAGAGATTGATGGTCCTTGCAGATACTTCACTTGTGTTGATAAAAATTCTGGGTGCCCTGGTGGCCACTTGGGTCTGGCTTCCCACTTGAGCTGTGTAGACAGTGTGCTCCTTTATCTTTAGCCAACAGGCATGCCCTCTCTGGGCATAACTTTCCCCACCACGGGGGAGAAGGCTGGGAGCTCAGCTGGAGCAGGGGCTGCACGTGAGAGGAACCATGGCCCCGCCACCCGGCTTGTCGAGAAAACCTGTGCCTGCCAGCCGGCCCTCAAGGCCCTCCGTCACCCGGAAGCCTCCATCTCTCACCTCATCGCCCTGCTCTTGTTAGAGGTGGTTCTGAACCTGACTACACATTCGAGTCACTTGTGGAGCCTCGTGATGCATACACAGGCTCTGCGCCGACGCGTCTTGTTCTATTGAATTGGTCTTTCTTTCCCAACAAAATGCTTCCTGATTCCACTTTAAGGAAGATAAGACAGAGAAACTTCTGTTGTTTTTATCTACAAAATTCATGTGGAAGCTGGGACAGGGCCCTGTGATAAAATGGCTTATTTTTAGAGTAAGGTAAGCCACATGTAGAAGTCCTGGCATCAGCCTTTGGCTTGCGTTCCCCCAGACCAGTGTTATGAAGTCAAGTTGTGGCCAGGAGTGCAGCCTGCACATCAGCAGAGATGGTTGTGAGCCTCCCTCTGCAGGTAAGTTGGGGTGAGGGGAGCTGGTGGGAAAAGTACTGGGAGAGGGGTGGGCCAGGTTGGCTAACCAGGAGGAGGTCCAAGGGGTGCCCGGATCCGCTCTGACAGGAGGGAACTAGCCTCTTGTTATTTCATGGTTTCTGCAGCAGCATCAACTCATATCTTCCACCCTCACTAGATTCAAAAGGCCACTGAATTGCCAAGGAGAGGCCTTTGTGGCTGCCGATGTGTGGGGAGGAGTCCAAGAAACTGCCCTCAGCGAGCCCCTCCCATCTCCTAGGTGGCACGATGTAGCACTTAACTGCTTGGCTAATGAGAGATCCATGGGCATGATGCAAGGATTTTGGTGAGCTGTGTTCCCTCTAAGTCCCAGTCTCAACTGATTTGCAATTTACAGCAAAAATCTGGCAACCCAGTGGAGCGATAGTGAGACCCACTGCCTGAATTGAGAACTGACTCCATATGCCAGGCCGTGCTGATCTCAGTTGCTCCGTGTATATCTGGCCTGCAGGGGACTTCCTGGCCTCCAGGTGCAACGGGGGAGGCTTTTACAGATGTACCAAGTGAGCGCACGTGACCCCCTTGGGTGCAGAGGGCCAGGGCAATTTGGCCTCATTCTTGGGAACCTCCCATTCTTCTGTGGTGGAGCAGATTTGGGATCACCTACTCTCCCCGTATTTCCCCCCTTTCCAATCCTCAGTTCCACCCTACACTCAAAAACAAACCAAACCAGCTGAGAGTGGGAGATGCCGAGCTGGGGAGAGGAGGGGATTTGCAGGCAGGAATGGCCTGTACCCCTCCCGCCCTGCTCGCAGGTGGCTGCGCTCAGCAGGTTCCCCTTGATGGCAGCACTGAGGGGGGCCGTGGGGAAGGCCGGGGGAGGGGGTTCCTTGTCTGGCACCTGCAGCCCTACCCACCAGCTTCCCAGTGTCTGCAGCCCAGTCAAATCCCTCCTTCCCTTTCCTGTCACAGTGAAGCCCGAGGGTGAGACTCAGGAATACAGACAAACATTCTCTTTATTGAGCTACACATGAATTTTCCATTAGTCAGAGAAGTAGACTGGCAGTGTGTAAGATATCACAGAAACCTCACCGATTGGGAATAGAAAGGCTTAGAAAGACCCGTGGGCTTTTTTTTTTTCCTTTTCCCAAGTTTTTTTTTCTTTTTTCTGCATTTTAAACATTTTGTGTTTTGTCTTTTTGCCTCTTTATCTGAAATGGCTGTGACTGGTCTTCTTCAGCAAATAAGTCTTAAAAGTGAAACCGTGAAGAGGTTTGGGGTTCGGATACTAGTCAAAGTAGAAATGACATTGGACTGATCATGATAACTGTGGCTTTCATGTAAACACTACATTCCATCTTTTAAAATTTTTTTTGTGTTTTTTTCCATCTTGTGGTATTTAAATTTTTTGTTTGTTTTTATCTGCAGCACAAACATCCCCACATGAGAAAGAGAGAACACAGGTCACTGAAACAAAGGAAAAGGCGAGGGGCGCGCACACAAAGGGAGCATCCTTCTGAGAGACAGAGAAGCGGAAATGGCAGCGGGGAAAACCACAACCCGGGTCCCAAAGACTATGAAAGCTGGTCCGGTATGTAATACATAGTGCTTATCAGGACTGAAATGATAACAAAAACTAAAACCACTAAAAAAAAAAAGTGATAAAGGGTCTCTGTAGAAAGGAGTTGAGGGAAAATTGTTTTCTAGAGGGCTCTGTTTATACATATGTTCCGTATTCTTTTGGGGCAGCTACTGGCCAGTGAGAGCTGTGCTTTTTCTATACAAACCTGGAGTGAACGTGCGGTCGGAGTGGCTCGGGGCTGGGCAGGGGGTGTGATCTGGAAAGTGTGGCCTGAGTGGCTTCCCGGGAACCAGCGCCCCTGGGTGCACAGGCGGCACCTCTGCAGGTGGGATGGGGAGGGCGTGGGTGCAGGTGAGTATGTTTCTTTATTCAAAAAAAAAAAAAAAAAGAAAGAGATGGATGAGATGGTGTTTTCCTTTTTCCTCTTTTTTTTTAAGCTACAAAGCACATGAGAATTGATCTTTTTTCCTTTTGAATTCTAAATGTAAAGACTCAACTAAAACCGGATTCTACAGCATTCTACAGAAATACACAGCCGTCAGTCACTCTGGGTTGTAGGTTAGACAGGGGCTTGATACAGAAAGGCTGTGTGTCTTACAAAGGCCAAAAGGTCATGCTACCAGGAGATCAACGTCAACAGCAAAGAGTCCATGAAGCAGTCTGTAGAGAGAGAGATAAGGGGGTCCAGTCTGACCATTTTCCTTGATTTAAAAAACCAACCAACCAACCAAAAAACCCTCTAACATGTTTAATAGTGTTGGGGTAGGGCCAGACGGGGCAGCATCACAGTGGGGATCAGGAACCCAGGGGAAGCCCAGCCTGGGCCCCCTGGGAGGCCTCAACCCCAGGGACCCTGACCCTGACCCTGACCCGGCCAGGTCTGCAGCTTGACCCTCCCCTCGGCCACTCCTGCCCCTTCTCCATATCGCTCCCCTTCCGTCTCCTGCCCTCCTGGAGCAGGGCTGGCTTCCACTCTGCAGGTGACCTTGAGCCATGCTTTGCACGGCCCCTCCCCTCAGTGGCTTTTAGAAAGCGGACCATGTCTCCCTTTTCTCTGACTCTTGCCTTGTTAAGATGAATAAAGAAAACTCAGGAGACAGTGGGTTGGTCAGAGCAATGATTCTTCTAGATTCTTGAAATTAACAACCACCACCACCCCAAAGAGAAGTGTCCTTAATTTTTCTGTTGGGAGTACAGGGCAGGAAGATGTTTGAGGTGTTGGCCATTTTTTAAAGGGTTCTGGAGTTCGCACAAGAGCAGGACAGAACCGAGAGCACACAGCTCAGTGGGTGGGAGCAGAGGAACCGGCTGGACTAATACCAGGCCTTTCTTTGTCTGCCCTCTGCTCACAGAAACGGGTTTTGGAGAGTAAAATCACATGGCTGTTCTTAAAAGGATGGACTCCCAAATCAGGACGCCCATCACAACATGTGTGTGTGCGTGCGCGCACACGCGTTCATGTGCTGTCCCAGGAAAACCATGATGATCAATGGAATGGTGGTCAGTTCTGTCTGAAGCTCTTTCTAGTACAAACTAAAAAGAAATTTTAATATATATTTGTCTACATATAAGGTTTGTTATGCCTTTTTAAAGTTTATTGACCAACTTACATTTGTTAGTGGGGTTTGTGTGTGTGTGTGTGTGTGTGTGTGTGTGTTTGTGCAAGCTTTTCTGTGAGTGCTGGAATCATTACCAAATAGGTTGCTATACAGGACAAGAGGTCAGTACAAGCCGCAGCCCCGGAGGTTGTTGGCAATGATGATGTCAGTGACGGCGTCGAATACCACCTGGATATTATTCGTGTCTGTGGCACAAGTCATGTGACAATAAATTTCTTTGTTGGGTGAGCGGTTTTTGCTTTCAAATTGTGCTTGGATGTAGGCAGCGGCATCTTCATAGGTGTTGGGGCCTGCAACGAGACAGAGAACAGTGGGGAGGCCCTGGTGAGAGCTGGGGTGGAGCAGTGTGGCCTTGTCTGGGAGGCAGGATGAGATAGGACAAGGGATGGGGATGGAGGAGGCTGTGGGGCACTTCTCCAAGGTGGAGCAGCA